GGTTTTAAACACCCCCCCAAAGGGTTTTAAACCCCCCACCTCCCCAAAGGGGTGTAAACCCACCCCCAAAAGGGTGTTTAAAAAACCTCCCAAAAGGGTTTTTAAAAAACCCCACCCAAAGGGTTTTTAACACAAACCTTTCCAAAGGGTTTTTAAACCCACCTCCAAAGGCCCGTAAACACCACCTCCCAAAGGGTGGGATAACCCACCTCCAAAAGGGTTTAAACACCCCCTCCAAAGGCTTTTAACACCACCTCCAAGGCTTTTTAAAAAAACACCCCCAAGGGGTGTTTAAACCAAACCCCCTCCAAGGCTGGGAAAACACACCTCCCAAAGGCCCCGGGAAAAACCCCCTCCAAGGTGTAAACCCACCTTCCCAAAGGGTTTTTAAAAACCACCTCCAGGCTTTTAAAAAACCCCCCTCCAAAGGGTTTTAAAAACCACCTCCAAGGCTGTAAAAAAAAACCCCCAAGGCTGTAAAAACCCCTCCAAGGCTCGTAAACCCACCCTCCAAGGCTGTTAAAAAAAACCCCCTCCAAAAGGGTGTAAAAAAACCCCCTCCCAAAGGGTGTAAAACACCACCCTTTAAGGCTGTAAAAAAACCCCTTCAAGGCTTTTTAAACCACCCCTCCAAAGGGTGAGGGACTGATTTTTTTTCCCTCTTTTTTTATATAGTTCTACTGTCTTCTTTTTATGTTTAAAAATCTGTTTTTAAAAGCCACGGGGGGTTAAAATCCAGGGGGGGCGAACGTTTTACAATTTAAAAATACCCCGATGTTGCACAAAAATGTCTTAAAATTTCTAGGCCGTTTGACATAGGAGGGAGAAGAGAGGCAAATAGCAAGTTGTAACAGTGCAGTAGCAGTAGTAGGGAAAGTAAAAGTGCATTGTAGTAACAAGGGAGTAGGCGTAGTAGTAACCCGTGTAGTAGCGTGTAGTAACAGTTGTAGTAGCAGTTTGTAGTAACAGGGATTTGTAGAAGTAGGTTTGTAACAGTAGTAGTACAAATAGTAGGAACGTAAATAGTAGCAGTAGTAGGAACAGTAGTTTGTAGCAGTAAATTGTAAAAAGTTGTTGGGAGCCCGCAAATAAATAAATAAAAAGTGTAGTACGTAGTAAATAACAGTAGTAGTAGCCCGTATAGTTAAAAAGTAGTAGTTTGCAGTAGTAGGAAACCAAATAGTAGTAGGGAGTTGTAATAACCCGTGTAGTAGGGGTAAATAGTAAAAGTTTGTAGTAGGAAAATAGTAGTAAAAAGAGTAGTAAATACGTTGTAGTAAAGGGAAATTGTGAAATAGGGAAATAACAGTAGTTGTAGCAGGTAGTAAGGGAGTAGTAAACAGTAGTGCTTTAACCCGTTGTAGTAAACCCGTTTGTTTGTAACAGTAGTAGTAGCAAATTTTTGTAACAAAATAAAATTGTAGGAGTAGTAGGGAACGTAGTTGTAGGAGTTGTTGTAACAGGTTTGTAGTAGGGTAAAATAGTAAAAAATTGTAGTAGGAAATTGTAGTTTAAAAAAGTAGTAGTAGGAGTAAATAAAATTAATAGTAAAAAGGAGGAGGTAAAAAAGTAGTAGTTGAGTAGTAGTAACATAGTAGTAAACAGTTGTAAATAACAGTGTAGTAGCGGGTAAATAACAGTAGTGTTTGCAGTAGTTGTAACCCGTTTGTAGTAGCAGTAGTAAATAACCGAAGTAGTAGCCGTTTGTAGTAACAGTTTGTAGTAAACAGTAGTTTGTAAAAAGTAGTAATAGCAGTTGTAGTAACTTGTAGTAGACTAGTTAAAATAACAGTAGTTTGTTTCATAGTTGTAAAAGTAGTTGTAGCCAAAAATTTGTGTAAAAAGGGAGTATTAGCGTAGTTGTTAAAAGGAGTAGTGCAGTAAAATTTGTAACTGTAGTTTTTTGTAAACAGTAGCAGTTTTCAGTTTGTAGTTAAAAAAATAGTAGTAGCAGTTGTTGTAAAAGTTTGTAGTAGCAGAGTTTGAACAGTTTGTTTACAAGTGTAGTAGCCGTAGTAAATAAACCCGTAAGTAGTAGCAGTAGTTGTAACAGTAGTTGTGCCCCTAGTTGAACAGTAGTTTGTACCCGTAGTTGTAACAGTAGTAGTAGCCCGTATAGTAAAAAGTTTGTTTGTTTTCAGTTTTAACATGTAGTTGTGCTTGAATAGCAGTAGTAGTAGCAGTGTAGTAACCGTAGTTGTTTAAAAGTAGTAGTGGCCCGTAGTAAATTAAAAGTAGAAATTGCAGTTGTAACAGTTGTAAATAGCGTGTAGAAAAAGTAGCAGTAAAAGGGGTAGTTGCAAATAAATTAAATAAACAGTAGTAGTAAACCCGTAGTAGTTAAAAGTAGTAGTTAAACAGTAATAAGTTAACAGTAGTAGTCAGAGTTTGTAAATAAGGCCCGTTGTAAATAGCAATAGAAGTAACAGTAGTATTTTCGGGAGTAGTAAACAGTGGGGTTTTGTTAAAATTTGTAGTTAAAAAGTAGCAGTAAAAAGTAGTAGTAAAAAGTAGTTTGAAAAAGTAGCAGGAAAAGTAGTAGTAGCGTAGTAGTAGCAGTAGTGTTTGCAGTTGTAGTAAAAGTTTTAGTAACAGTAGCGGAAAAAGTTTGTAGTAACGGGAAATAGTAACAGTTGTAGTTGCAGTAGTAGTAGCAGTAGTTGTAGGGGATAAATAAATAGCAGTTAAGTAAAGTCGTAGTATAACGGAAATAGTTTAAAAGTAAGTTTGTAGCAGTAGTATTTTAAAAGTTTTTTTGTAACGTAGCAAATTTAAAGTAGCAGTAAACCGTAGCGTTAAAAAGTTGTAGTAAACCCGTAGTAGGGCGTAAATTGAGGGAAATAGTAGTAACGTAGTAGTAGCAGTAGTAGTAAACAGTTGTGTTAAGTAGCAGAAAAAAAAGTGGTAAAGTAGTAGTAAAGTAGTAGTAGCGTGTAGTAACGTAGTAAATAAACAGTTGTAGTAACAGTGCAAACCGTAGCAAGTAACAGTTGTAGTAACAGTATAGTAGCCCGGTAGTAGTAACAGTAGTAAATAGGAGTAGTTTTGTAAACAGTTGCAGTAAAAAAAAATAAAGAATAAAAGTTGTAGTAAAACCGTAGTAGTAGCAGTGTTGTAAACAGTTGCAAAATAACAGTTGCAGTAACCTTTGTTGTAACAGGGGTTGTAAACAGTAGTGTAAAAAGTTGTTAAATAGAAATTGTAGTGGAGTTTAGGCTTTGTAAATGGTTCAAATTTAAACTGAAGGGGTAAACCCCAGGATCCTCTCTGGTATTTGCGGGTTATTCGTGTATTGGTTCCCGTCACGGTATTGTGCCCTTTTTTTTACTACCCTTTTAGGATTTTTAAAATTTTTACCCAAAAAATGGTATAAACCCGGAAAATTAAATTTTTGCTTTGTATAATGATATTTTGTCTAGTGTTTTAAAGAGGATTTTAGATTTGTAATGTAAACTAACGTACGGTTTTTGATTCAATTATTCAGTTTAGTGCCCAATTTTTCCCTCCCAAAAACTGCATGGCCCCACTAGTTTAGCTTTTTAAATTTTTTAACCCAAAATTTCATATTTTTTAAAAAAACGTAAAATTTTCTTTCCAAAATAATGGAAAGTTTAAAACCCTATGTAATATAAATGTGATTCTTTATTTACAACGGTTTTTGAGTCGCCCCCAAGGGGACATGTCACCCCCCCCAGCCCGGGGGGACCCCCGAAAGAAGACAGAAAAAAGAAGAAGGGTAACGACAAACCCCAGTCGGGGGGGCCCGCCGGGGGCAAACCCTATGGAGAAGACCCCGGGGCCCGGGGGTACAGGCGAAAACTCCAATTTAATTTAATAACAAAAGTTTCGCCCATACCCGTTTTTCTTTTACAAGTCACAAAAAAGAAAATTTCCTGGGTGGAAGGTACGGAGTTTTTTTTCCCTTTTCAAAAAATTATTATTTATAAATAAGGGGGGGAAACGCCTTTAAAACCCCGGGGATTTTCGCGCCCCGGGGGGGGGGGGTTTTGGGGAAGGGCCCGGGGGCCCGGTGGCTAAAGCTCCCCCTTCAAACCCGGGGGGGCCCCGGGTTTGAATTCCCGGGGGGGTGGAAAAAAATTTCGACACGTTTTCCCTTAAAACCTGGGTTTTCTGTTCAACCCTTTCAGCAAATAGGTACCCGGGGGTTAGTCGGGTGGTGGGTGGGGCGCATCCGGGGGGGCAAGGTTTTTGGACACCCAAAGGAAATAAGTTAGACAGTCCTCCCCATGGGCGCACTGACTTTCTTTTTGGGTTTTCCCGGGTGGGAACCCCCGGGGTTTTTTAAAAAACCAACGAAATTTATCTTATTTATCTAATTTGGGGAAAAAAGGAGGCCCCCGATCCAAAACCCTAAATTTAAGAAACCCTCCCCAAAATCTACCTTAGGTTTGGAAATTTTTCGTCCTTGCAAAAATTAAATTTTAAATCAGGGGACCCAAAACCCGGTGGTTATAACCTTTTTAAAAAAAGTATGGTATTAAGGATTAACAGGAATTTGTGTTCTTATACTTTCCGATCCCCCCACCCCCCGCCGGTCCCAAAAAAACCCCCGGGAGGAAACACCATTCGCGGCACAACACCGGGTTGGACCTCCCGCAAAGGTACCGGGGTTCAATGAATAAATTTCCGTTTGGGGGACAAGGGATTAAGCACAAAAAGGAATAATTTAGCAGGTCCTGATGCCAATATTTTTTTTATCGGGGGGCAAAACCCGGGGTTAAAACCGGGGGGGAAATTAATTCTAATTCGGGGAACTGGAGCACAGATCCAATTCCCTAAATCAAGAGCCCCTCACCAACATCAAGGAACCTTCCTTGAGGGGTACCTTGTCAATAAAGGATCACACACTGCACATGTGTTTATAATCCGACTGCGTCGGTATTTAATACCATTTATTTCCACCTACAATACAGCCAATTTGGTCCTTGTTACATTTAACATACCAAGAACCAGAGGGTATATATACTTAGTATACTCACCACCATCTGGTATATAGCGTCAACTATACTATACATCTCCTCTCTGGTAATAAATCCGTCATTATCGACGTCATATAACTTAAACGCCCCTGAAAAAGTGGAAAGAAAACGAGATTAATACAAAGGATAAACAGACGTGGAAACGAAAAAAGTGAAAAATACGTTTAGAAAAAAATTGATGAGGTTAAATAAATATTTTAGGGTAAGAGAAATTTGTAAATTTGTAATTGAAGGAAATAATAAAAGGAATTGCAAAATAATTTTAGTAAAAAAACGAAAATTGCATAAAAGGTTTTGATTTATTAAATTAAGTTGTAGACTAAATATAATTTTATTGTTTACCATAAAATATTTTATTTCTGGGTTTAAAAATAAAATAATTTGTAAGAACATAAATAGAATTATATAGTTTATTCTCAAAATTATTGTTTTTCGAATAAAAATTAGATAATAGTTTGTAAAACAATTTTTGTAAATTAAATAAAATTTATAGTTTACCCTTAAATATTTTTTACAGAAAAATAAATAATTTTAAAACGATTTTATAAATTGAATAAATTTTTTAGTTCACCCTGAAACTATTTAAAAAAACTGAAAAATAATTGTTGGAAATTAAATAAAATTTAATAGTTTTCCCTCAAATAAAAAAAAAATAATTCTGTTAAACAATAATTCCCAAATTAAATTTCATAGTTTACCATCAAATGATTTTTTTCTATTTTTAAAAAATACTCACATAGAAGTTTCTCATCAACGTTCCCTCTAGATGTGATAGACAGAGCTCTAATGAACTCCTCAAACTCGATAGATCCATCCTGCCAGATAGATGGAGACCAGAGTTATGGTGATGGATCATGACAGTAATGGGAGATGTGTGTGTATTTTACTATAGTTATCCCTTCAGTGTGGTCAAGATATGTTTTATTATAGTTATACCTTCAGTGTGGTCAAGATGAGTGTTTTATTATAGTTATACCTTCAGTGTGGTCAAGATGTGTGTTTTATTATAGTTATACCTTCAGTGTGGTCAAGATGTGTTTTATTATAGTTATACCTTCACTGTGGTCAAGATGAGTGTTTTATTATAGTTATACCTTTAGTGTGGTCAAGAAGAGTGTTTTATTATAGTTATACCTTCAGTGTGGTCAAGAAGAGTGTTTTATTATAGTTATACCTTCAGTGTGGTCAAGAATGTTTTATTATAGTTATACCTTCAGTGTGGTCAAGAATGTTTTATTATAGTTATACTTCAGTGTGGTCAAGAATGTTTTATTATAGTTATACCTTCAGTGTGGTCAAGAATGTTTTATTATAGTTATACCTTCAGTGTGGTCAAGAATGTTTTATTATAGTTATACCTTCAGTGTGGTCAAGAATGTTTATACCTCACATAGTGATTTAACACAGTGTATATACATACATATATACCTTTCTGTGCGTATATACATTGAAATATACATCGTAAGTTGGTTTAATACTGTGAAATATGGATCTTAGTGTATATACATTGTAATAATCATATCGATGTATATACACTGAGTGTTATACTAGTATCAGTGTATATACATTGTTATACTAGTATCAGTGTATATACATTGTTATACTAGTATCAGTGTATATACATGTTATACTAGTATCAGTGTATATACATTGTTATACTAGTATCAGTGTATATACATTGTTATACTAGTATCAGTGTATATACATTGTTATACTAGTATCAGTGTATATACATTGTTATACTAGTATCAGTGTATATACATTGTTATACTAGTATCAGTGTATATACATTGTTTATACTAGTATCAGTGTTTATACATGTATTAACTAGTATCAGTGTATATACATTGTTTATACTAGTATCAGTGTATATACATTGTTATACTAGTATCAGTGTATATACATTGTTATACTAGTATCAGTGTATATACATTGTTATACTAGTATCAGTGTATATACATTGTTATACTAGTATCAGTGTATATACATTGCTACACTAGTATCAGTGTTTTAGATGCTACAATATACACATCTCATTGAATATACACTGAGAGATATACATACCTCAGTGTATAAACACTAGGAGGTATACACACCATATCAAATTGAGAGATATACATCAGATTAGATATAAATTGAAAGATATACGATACTCATTAGAAATATATATATATATATATATATATATATATATATATATATATATATTTATATATATATATATATATATATATATATATATTATATATATGTGGTATCCATTATATATATATATATACACACATTTTCAATGTATCTCGGTTATATACTCAACTGTGTGTATAGACGAGAAGATGGTTAATGGGGTTTGAAGTCTATCTACTACACCAGGGTCATTAAGACTGGTTGGTTGGTTAATGGGGTTTAAAGTCTATCTACTACACCAGGGTCATTAAGACTGGTTGGTTGGTTAATGGGGTTTAAAGTCTATCTACTACACCAGGGTCATTAAGACTGGTTGGTTGGTTAATGGGGTTTAAAGTCTATCTACTACACCAGGGTCATTAAGACGGGTTGGTTGGTTAATGGGGTTTAAAGTCTATCTACTACACCAGGGTCATTAAGACTGGTTGGTTGGTTAATGGGGTTTAAAGTCTATCTACTAAAACCAGGGTCATTAAAAGACTGGTTGGTTGGTTAATGGGGTTAAAGTCTATCTACTACACCAGGGTCATTAAGACTGGTTTGGGTTGGTTAAGGGGGGTTAAATTCTATCTACTACACCAGGGTCATTAAAGAGGGTTTGGTTTGGGTTAATGGGGTTTAAAGTCTATCTACTACACCAGGGTCATTAAGACGGGTTTGGGTTGGTTAATGGGGTTAAAGTCTATCTACTACACCAGGGTCTTTAAAGGGAGGTTTGGGTTTGGGTTTAAATGGGGTTAAAGTCTATCTACTACACCAGGGTCATTAAGACTGGTTGGTTGGTTAATGGGGTTTAAAGTCTATTACTACCCCAAGGTCATTAAGACTGGTTGGTTGGTTAATGGGGTTTAAAGTCTATCTACTACACCAGGGTCTTAAGATGGTTGGTTGGTTAATGGGGTTAAAGTCTATTACTACACCAGGGTCATTAAGACTGGTTGGTTGTTAATGGGGTTTTAAAGTCTATCTACTACACCAGGGTCTTTAAAGATGGTAGGTTGGTTAATGGGGTTTAAAGTCTATCTACTACACCAGGGAAATTAAGACTGGTTGGTTGGTTAATGGGGTTTAAAGTGTATCTACTACACCAGTGAAAATAAGACTGGTTGATTGGTTAAGGGGGTTTTAAAAGTCTATCTACTACACCAGATCATTAAGACGGGTTGGTTGGTTTAATGGGTTTAAAGTCTTTCTACTACACCAGGGTCATTAAGACTGGTTGGTTGGTTAATGGGGTTTAAAGTCTATCTACTACACCAGGGTCATTAAAGACTGGTTGATTGGTTAATGGGGTTTAAAGTCTATCTACTACACCAGAGTCATTAAGACTGGTTGGTTGGTTAATGGGGTTTAAAGTCTATCTACTACACCAGGGTCTTTAAAAGACTGGTTGGTTGGTTAATGGGGTTTAAAGTCTATCTACTACACCAGGGTCATTAAGACTGGTTGGTTGGTTAAGGGGTTTAAAGTGTATCTACTACACCAGGGTCTTTTAAGACTGGTTGGTTGGTTAATGGGGTTTAAAGTCTATCTCCCAACACCAGGGTCATTAAGATCTGGTTGGGTTTGGGTTAATGGGGTTTAAAGTCTATCTACTATACCAGGGTCATTAAACTGGTTGGTTCGTTAATGGGGTTTAAAGTCTATCTACTACACCAGGTCTTTATAAGACTATTGGTTGGTTAATGGGTTTAAAGTCTATCTACTACACCAGGGTCATTAAGACTGGTTGGTTGGTTAATGGGGTTTAAATTCTATCTACTACACCAGGGTCATTAGATGGTTGGTTGGTTAATGGGTTTAAAGTCTATCTACTACACCAGGGTCATTAAGACTGGTTGGTTAATGGGGTTTAAAGTCTATCTACTACACCAGGGTCATTAAAAACTGGTTGGTTGGTTAATGGGGTTTAAAGTCTATCTACTACACCAGGGTCATTAAGACTGTTGGTTGGTTAATGGGGTTTAAAGTCTACCCTACTACACCAGGTCATTAAGACGGGTTTGGGTTTGGGTTAATGGGTTTAAAAGTCTATCTACTACACCAGGGTCTTTAAAGACGGGTTGGGTTTTGGTTAATGGGGTTTAAAGTCTATCTACTACCCCCAGGGTCTTTAAAAACTTTTGGTTGGTTAATGGGGTTTAAAGTCTATCTCCCACACCAGGGTCTTTAAAGACGGTTGGTTTGGGGGTTAAGGGGGGTTTAAAGTCTTCTACTACACCAGGGTCATTAAGACGGGTTGGTTAATGGGGTTTAAGTCTATCTACTACACCAGGGTCATTAAGACTGGTTGGTTAAAAAGGGTTTAAATCTATCTACTACACCAGGGTCATTAAGAATGGTTGGTTGGTTAAGGGGGTTTTAAAGTCTATCTACTACACCGGCTCATTAAGACTGTTTGGTTGGTTAATGGGTTTAAAGTCTATCTACTACACCAGGGTCATTAAGACTGGTTGGTTTGGGTTTAAAGGGGGTTTTTAAAGTCTATCTACTACACCAGGTCATTAAGACGGTTGGTTGGTTAATGGGGTTTAAAGTCTATCTACCACACCAGGGGTCATTAAGACTGGTTTTGGTTAATGGGGTTTAAAGTCTATCTACTACACCAGGGTCATTAAGACTGGTTGGTTTAATGGGGTTTAAAGTCTATCTACACACCAGGGTCATTAAGACTGGTTGTTGGTTAAGGGGGGGTTTACAGTCTATCTACTACACCAGGGTCCATTAAGATGGTTGGTTAATGGGGTTTAAAGTCTATCTACTACACCAGGGTCATTAAGATGGTTGGTTAATGGGGTTTAAAGTCTATCTACTACACCAGGGTCATTAAGACGGTTGGTTAATGGGTTTAAAGTCTATCTACTACACCAGGGTCTTTAAAAGACTGGTTGGTTGGTTAATGGGGTTTTCCCAGTCTATCTACTACACCAGGGTCATTAAGACTGGTTGGTTTAATGGGGTTTAAAGTCATAACTACACCCAGGGTCATTAAGACTGGTTGGTTAAGGGGGTTTTTAAAGTCTATCTACCACACCCGGGGTCATTAAGACTGGTTGGTTGGTTAAGGGGGTTTAAAGTCTATCTACTACACCGGGTCATTAAACTGGTTGGTTGGTTAATGGGGTTTAAAGTCTATCTACCACACCAGGGTCATTAAGTGGTTGGTTGGTTAAGGGGGTTTTTTAAAGTCTATCTACTAACACCAGGGTCATTAAGACTGGTTGGTTATGGGGTTTAAAGTCTATCTACTACACCAGGGTCATTAAGACTGGTTGGTTGGTTAATGGGGTTTACAGTCTATCACTACCCCAGGGCCCTTAAGACTGGTTGGTTAATGGGGTTTAAAGTCTATCTACTAAAACCGGGGTCTTTTAGATGGTTGGTTGGTTAATGGGGTTTAAAGTCTATCTACTACACCAGGGTCATTAAGACTGGTTGGTTGGTTAATGGGGTTAAAAGTCTATCTACTCCCACCAGGGTCATTAAGACTGGTTGGTTAATGGGGTTTAAAGTCTATCTACTACACAGGGTCATTAAGACTGGTTGGTTAGTTAATGGGGTTTAAAGTCTATCTACTAAAAACCAGGGTCATTAAGACTGGTTGGTTGGTTAATGGGGTTTAAAGTCTATCTACTACACCGGGGTCTTTAAAGACTGGTTGGTTGGGTTTTAAGGGGGTTTTACAGTCTATCTACTAAAACCGGGGTCATTTAAACTGGTTGGTTAATGGGGTTTAAAGTCTATCTACTACACCAGGTCATTAAGACGGGTTGGTTGGTTAATGGGGTTTAAAGTCTACTACACCAGGGTCATTAAGACTGGTTGGTTGGTTAATGGGGTTTAAAGTCTATCTACTACACCAGGGTCATTAAGACGGGTTGGTTGGTTAATGGGGTTTAAAGTCTATCTACCACACCAGGGTCATTAAGACTGGTTGGTTGGTTAATGGGGTTTTAAAGTCTATCTACTACACCAGGGTCATTTAAGACGGGTTGGTTGGTTAATGGGGTTTAAAGTCTATCTACCACACCAGGGTCATTAAGACTGGTTGGTTGGTTAATGAGGTTTAAAGTCTATCTACTACACCAGGGTCATTAAGACTGGTTGGTTAATGGGGTTTAAAGTCTATCTACTACACCAGGGTCATTAAGACTGGTTGGTTAATGGGGTTTACAGTCTATCTACTACACCAGGGTCATTAAGACTGGTTGCTTAATGGGGTTTACAGTCTATCTACTACACCAGGGTCATTAAGACTGGTTGGTTAATGGGGTTTACAGTCTATCTACTACCCCAAAGGGTCTTTAAGACTGGTTGGTTAATGGGTTTACAGTCTATCTACTACACCAGGGTCATTAAGACTGGTTGGTTAATGGGGTTTACAGTCTATCTACTACACCAGGGTCATTAAGACTGGTTGGTTAATGGGGTTTACAGTCTATCTACTACACCAGGGTCATTTAAGACTGGTTGGTTAAGGGGGTTACAGTTATCTACTACACCAGGGTCATTAAGACTGGTTGGTTAAGGGGTTTTTAAAGTCTATCTACTACACCAGGGTCATTAAGACTGGTTGTTAATGGGGTTTAAAGTCTATCTAATACACCAGGGTCTTAAGATGGTTGGTTAAGGGGTTTAAAGTCTATCTACTACAACCAGGGTCATTAAGACTGGTTGGTTAATGGGGTTTAAAGTCTATCTACTACACCAGGTCATTAAGACGGGTTTGGTTAATGGGTTTAAAGTCTATCTACTACACCAGGTCATTAAGACTGGTTGGTTTAATGGGGTTTACAGTCTATCAAATACACCAGGGTCATTAAGACTGGTTGGTAAGGGGGTTTTTAAAGTCTATCTACTACACCAGGGTCATTAAGACGGGTTTGGGTTTAATGGATTTACAGTCTATCTAATACACCAGGGTCATTAAGACTGGTTGGTTAAGGGGGTTTACAGTCTATCTACTACACCAGGTCATTAAGACGGTTGGTTAATGGGGTTTACAGTCTATCTACTACACCAGGGTCATTAAGACTGGATGGTTAATGGGGTTTACAGTCTATCTACTACACCAGGGTCATTAAGACTGGTTGGTTAATGGGGTTTACAGTCTATCTACTACACCAGGGTCATTAAGACTGGTTTGTAAGGGGGTTTAAAGTCTATCTACTACACCAGGGTCATTAAGACGGGTTTGGGTTTTGGTTAAGGGGGTTTAAAGTCTATCTACTACACCAGGGTCATTAAGACTGGTTGGTTGGTTAATGGGGTTTAAAGTCTATCTACTACACCAGGGTCATTAAGACTGGTTGGTTGGTTAATGGGGTTTACAGTCTATCTACTACACACACACACACACTTACATTGTTCTCGTCAAATACCCGAAATACCAGAGATGCAAATTTTGTTGGATCTCCCTGTGGGAAGAATTGCTTGTATATCTTGATAAAGCCCTGTGAGGGAGAGAGAGAGAGAGTGAGAGAGAGTTAGTGTGTGGGAGTAAGCATGAATAAATATATATATATCACTTACCAAACTGCGACAGGCCAGGATTCGACCCCACGGCACATTGTCCCGCTTCGAGCGAAAACACAACGTACGTGTCACCTTATCCACGTACGTTGTGTTGTCTCTTGAGGGGGACAATGTATCGTGGGGTCGAATCCTGGCTGCCGCAAATTTAGTAAATGATATAATATATAAATATATATATATATAATATTATATATATATAAAAAATATCTATATAATTATATATATATATATATATATATATATGTGAATACTAATATTATTTTGGATTCTTTCGAAAAATTCAATATTTAAGAAAATGGTCAATAAATCTGATTTCCTCTCATTACTAATAAATTACGTTTAACACGGTACAAAAGAATCACTTAAAAATAACTTTTAAAGGGTTTCTAAGACTATTGTGACGTTTTTTGTGTGGTAAAGGTGAGGATACAAGTAAAGGCAACTCTGAATTAGACGGGTCCCCTGCTGTACTTTATCAAATAACGATATATGGGTGTTGAAGTTGTGTCTTGATTATTCAACTCAGCCAGAACCACTCATATATATTTGTCCAATCTCTTTTTAAAGCATTCTGTAGCAGATTTCCTCTGATATATTGTTAGTTCTGAGAGGGTGAGTCCCTCACCCTGGAGAAGAGTTCAGTACCATGATCTGGAACATTCATGACCCTGGAAGGCTTAGGTTTGAGGTGGGTGAGTCCCTCACCCTGGAGAAGAGTTCAGTACCATGATCTGGAACATTCATGACCCTGGAAGGCTTAGGTTTGAGGTGGGTGAGTCCCTCACCCTGGAGAAGAGTTCAGTACCATGATCTGGAAAAATTCATGACCCTGGAAGGCTTAGGTTTGAGGTGGGTGAGTCCCTCACCCTGGAGAAGAGTTCAGTACCATGATCTGGAACAGTTCATGGGCCCTGGAAAGGGTTGGTTTGAGGTGGGTGAGTCCCTCACCCTGGAGAAGAGTTCAGCACCATGATCTGGAACAGTTCATGACCCTGGAAGGCTTAGGTTTGAGGTGGGTGAGTCCCTCACCCTGGAGAAGAGTTCAGTACCATGATCTGGAACAGTTCATGACCCTGGAAGGCTTAGGTTTGGGGGGTGAGTCCCTCACCCCCGGAGAAGGTTCAGCACCATGATCTGGAACAGTTCATGACCCTGGAAGGCTTAGGTTTGAGGTGGGTGAGTCCCTCACCCTGGAGAAGAGTTCAGTACCATGATCTGGAACAGTTCATGACCCTGGAAGGCTTAGGTTTGAGGTGGGTGAGTCCCTCACCCTGGAGGAGAGTTCAGCACCATGATCTGGAACAGTTCATGACCCTGGGAGGCTTAGGTTTGAGGTGGGTGAGTCCCTCACCCTGGAGAAGACCTTTGTTCCATAATCTTATACAATGTGAACTTGTAGCACCAGTAAGGAGACTTATCTACTGTCAGAAGGTGAGGTCCAGCCCACCTTACTATGGTGGTGCTTAGTGACTGTATTGACTGAACCATGTAGTCAGGTGGGTAATTTATAATATAAAAATATATTTATTTACTACCAGTACATGTACAAGGTATACATGTACAAGGTATACATGTACAAGGTATACATGTACAAGGTATACATGTACAAGGTATACATGTACAAGGATACATTTTTAAGGTATACAGACCATGTTTGGAAAACCCCTGACATACTGCTATATAGAAAGACCTTGTTATGTTGACATTTCCTCAAAATTTTGTTTATTTTGTGGGCCCGGATGTGCCCCCCACCCGTCCCCCTAACACCCAGGATGTGACCCACACCAGTCCACTAACACCCAAAGGGTGTGAAACCCCCACCAGTCCCCAAAAATAACACCGGGATGCCCCCCACACCAGTCCACTAACCCCCCAAAGGGGTGCTAGTATGGGTTCCCTCCTGGGGGTTTTTTTTGGCTGGTGTGGGTCCCATCCTGGGGTTTTTAGTGGACTGGTTTTGGGTTTACATCCTGGCACAAAACTGGGCATAATTTTTCAGGAAATTTCTCAACATAAAAAAGGGACTTTTTTATACAGCGTATGTCAGGGGGGTCAACTTTGGTCTGATAAGTTTCATTTAGTAATGCTAAGAAATAAACAATTTTTAAAGTGAGAATCATACAACACCCACATACAAAACATATAAAATACGTATTTTATTTACTTTTATATAGTATATATATAAATTTTATAAATTTATATATTTATTATATATATATATATATATTTATTTTAATATATATAAAATTTTTTTTAATATAAAAGTAGTATGAGTACTATGATAGACATAATACTGACCGTCCCCTGTAAGTTGACCATTTGGGCGTCCTTCAAAGGGAAACCCCTTTTCCCTTTTGGCAAAAAAAATGTAAATCAAAATATTTTTTTAAAAAATTTTCAACCTTTCTTTTGTAACTATTTATTAAATTTTTTAAGCAAAATGAGTGCTTATTTTAAAATTTGTCATTTATTAACAAATGGATTTTTTGTAAAAGTTTTATCAAAAAAATTTTTAAAAGAGGTAATAATTTAATTTAAAAAACCCTTTTTTTAGTTTTTTTTAAAAAAAATCGATTTTTTTTTGATTTTTTTTTTCAAAATTTGCCCATGATTGGTTTCTATTACAGTTTGACCCCCCGGTTAACGAACTATTTTCATTCCATTGTATGTTTAGGTGCCAGTATGACCGAATTTTTTCTATAAGGAAATTTTTGTGAAATAGATTTTTGTCCATTTCAGACCCCCCCCCCAAAAATCCAAAGTACAAGCGCACTTACATAAATACACTTTCATAATTGGTCGCATTTGGGGTGATCGTTAAAACGGGGGGGGCCCTTATTTTTAAAATAAAAATTTTATATTATTTTGTCAGATTAAAGGGAAATTTAAGGGGTTTAAAAATAATTTTAATAATAATATTAAAAATAATAATTAACCCTTTGGGAATTTTTGTGGTAAATTTCCTTGGTAATTAATGTGTAATTTTTCTTGGGAATTTTTGTTTGTAATTATTTGGTAATTTTTTGTGTGTTTAATTTTCTTTGGGAATTAAAGTTTTGTGTAAATTTTCTTGGTAATTATCCCTTTTTAATTTTTCTTGGTTAAATTTGTGTGTTAATTATTTGGTAATTTTGTGTGTGTAATTATCCCTTTGGGAATTTTGTGTGGGGTAAAATTTTCTTGGTAATTTTTTGTTGTTTAAATTTTCTTGGGGAATTATGTGTGTGTAATTATCTTGGTAATTTGGGGTTGTCATTTTTTTGGGTAATTATGTGTGGAAAAAAAAACTTTGGGAAATTTTTGTGTGGTAATTATCTTGGGAAATTTGTGTTTTGTAATTATCTTGGTAATTTTTCCGTGTGTAATTTTCCCTTTCTAATTTATCTATGGGGAAATTTTCTTGGGAATTATCTTTTGGGGTAATTATCTTGGGAATTATCTATGGAATTTTTCCCTTTGTTTAAATTTTCTGTGTGTAAAATTTCCTTGGTAAAATTTTCTGTGTGAATTTTTTTGGTAAAATTTTCTGTTTTGTAAATTTTTCTTGCTTTAAATTTTTCTGTGTGTAATTTTTTGGTAATTATCTGGGGTAATTTTCTTGGAATTTCTGTGTGTAATTATCTTGGGAATTTCTTTTGTAATTTTTCTTGGGTAATTATAAATGTGTAATTATCTTGGTAATTTTTCTGGTGTAAAATTTTCTTGGAATTAACCCGTGGGGTAATATCTTGGTTTAAATTAAACAGTGTGTAAATTAATTTTGGGAAATTATCTGTTTTGTAATTATCTTTGGGAATTATCCTTTTTTGTAAATTTCCTTGGTAATTTTCTTTTGATAAATTTGGGAATTTTCTGGTTTTAATTTTCTTGGTTTTTTATTCTGTTTGTAATTACCTTGGTAATTATCTGTGTGTAATTATCCCTTTGGTAATTATTGTTTGTAAATTTTCTTGGTAATTATTGGGGTGTAATTATCTTATTAATTTCTGTGTAATTATCTTTTTTTTGGGAATTATCTGTGTGTAAATTTTCTTGGGAATTATCTGTGTGTAATTATCTTTTGGGAATTTTCTATGCGAATTATCTTTGGGAATTATCTATCGTAATCATTTTGGGAATTTTCTGTTTTGGGAAAATTTTCTTGGTAATTACTATGTGTAAAAATTTTTGGGAATTATCTATGTGTATTTTTCTTTTGGGAATTAACTATGTTAATTATCTTGGGAAAAATTTTTTTTGTAATTTCTTGGTAATTATCTGTGTGTAATTTTCTTGGGAATTATCTATTTTAATTATCTTGGTAATTATCTTTTGTTAATTAAAATTTTGGGAATTAAAATGTGTAATTTTTCTTGGTAATTATCTTTTGTGTAATTATCTTGGTAATTTTCTGTGGGGTAATTTTCTTGGTAATTATTGTGTTAATTATCTTGGTAATTTTTCTATGGGGTTTAATTTTCCTTGGGAATTAGCTGGGTAAAATTTTCTTGGGAATTTTATGTTTTAATTATCTTGGTAATTAACTATGTGTAATTTTCTTGGGGAATTTTTTCTGTGTGGGAATTATCTTGGGGAAATTAAAGTTGTAATTATCTTGGGAATTACTATGGGGTAAATTTTCCCTGGTAATTAGCTGTGTAATTTTTCTTGTAATTACCTTTGGGAATTATCTGTTTTGAAAATTTTCTTGGTAATTATCTATGTGTAAATTTTCCTTTGTAATTACCCTTTGGGAATTAGCTGTGTGTAATTAAACTTGGAATTAACCCGTTGTAATTATCTTGGTAATTATCTGTTTTTTTAATTTCTTGGTAATTATCTGTGTGAAATTTTCTTGGTTTTTTATCTGTGAAAATTTTCTTGGAAAATTTTTGTTTTAATTATCTTTGGGAATTACTGTGTGTAAAATCTTGGTAATTTAAATTTGGGGAATTATCTGGTGGGAATTATCTTTTATAAAAACCCTTGGGAATTATCTGCGGTTTTTAAACTTGGTAAATTTTCTTTTTGTAATTACTTGGTAAATTTTTTGGGGTGTAATTTTTCTTTTTGGGAATTACCTTTGGGAAAAATTAAACGTGTGTTTAATTTTCTTGGTAATTATCTTGTGTTTAAAATTTTTTTGGGAAATTTTCTGTGTGTAATTAACTTGGGAATTACCTTTTGGGAATTTCTATGTGTAATTACTTGTAATTTTCTTTTGTGTAATTAAACTTGGGAATTATTGTGGGGTAAAATTTTCTTTTTAATTTTTCTTGGTAATTAAATTATCGTGTGTAATTATCTGGTAATTATCTGTGTGTAATTATCTTTGGGAATTATCTGTGTGTAATTTTTCTTTTGGGAAATTTCCTTTGGTTAAAAAATTTTGTGTGTAATTATCTTGGTAATTTTTCTGTGTGAATTTTCCCTTTGGGAATTTTTTGTGGGGTTTTAAATTAAACTTTTGGGAATTTTTTTCCTTGGTAATTTTTTGTGTGTAAATTTTCTTGGTAATTATCTGTGTGAATTAATTGGTAATTTTCCTTGGTAAATTTCTGTGTGTAAAAATCTTGGTTAAATTTTCTGTGTGTAAATTTTCTTGGGAAATTTTCTTGGGGCAATTATCTTGGTAATTTCCTTGGTAATTTCTTTTAATTACTTGGTAATTATCTGTGTGTAATT